CCTCAACGGTTCATAGCAGTTATGTCGTGATTGCGTTTGATATATACATATATTTTAAAAAAAATAATTCCTAAACAAGTTTAAATCCCAGTTTAAAATAAAAACTACAAATATTAATTCCAAACTTTTAATTTTTATTGAACCAATTACAAAACGAAACTTGTGTAATAATTGACCTTCGTTCTTGAACGCCAGCTATGGCCATGACAATAATTGTTTAGTACAATCTAAATAATGAAATATAACCTTAAGAAAATAGCGCCCTGTTAGCTTAGTGGTACGTACACTCGTCTTACTGAAGTTCAAACTCCTGTAAGACAGTCTCCAAATAATCTATGTCAATTTCAACTTAATCGCGTAATACGAAATGTTCTTATGCAGTTGAGATTAAAGCCCCTCTTTATTAAACATACAGACAAGAAAGGCTTCCTAATATTTTTTTTAAAAGATTCTATCCAAATATAATCAACGTCTATATTATCATTTTGCTTGCAATTAAAATATCTTGTCAGGTTTTCGGATGCTATTTCCACTAAAGTTTGTAAACATACGTGCTAATCTTCTCTTAAACAGTGAATAACTAACGTTATAAAAGTTATATTATTTCAGTCTTACGTTTAAAAACTGGCAATTGCACGATAAGACTTGTATGCTTTAATACTTTGCGATTTGTGATTCGACCGTAGTAAAAAATGGAGTCAGTATAATTAGGACACGGAACGACAGAAGTTAAAATAGACATGGAGAATGAGATTTCAACGAAGAAAGGGAAAAAGTGAGTGTGAATCATAATCTGGGAATATTTTTTATTAAACACAAAATTTATATAGAATTTTTAAGATAATTTATATAAAAAATATAACGCCTATGAGGAGAAAAATTGCAAGATAAAAGTGTGATCTATTTTTACCCTCCGTAATAAAAGCGAGTGTGATTTTCTGAAAGAAACTATTTTATTGTTTCACCGGGATTCAAACTCATGACCCCTCAGGTACGCGAATACGTTTGACCGTTCAGTCATGGTGTCTCAAATAGTACAAGTAACAGTAGTTGATATTTAAGACTTGTTCTATTATGAACAGGAAGCTAAATCAAATGCGAGTAAATGTATGATTCATTTTGAATTACGTATGAACTCAGCCTATCCGTAATTCAAAATCAAAATGCATGAGTTGGAATCGTACATCGACAGAAAGTAGTCGACCTCAGAGAATTATTGATTGGTTTCGCGTTATTTACTGTTGCACCACTCATATGAAATTGTAATTCTCACGAAAACCGTTTAAACTACGTTAACATTAGAAAAAATATACATTTTAAAAAAGAGAAGAAGAACCAATGTTAAATTATATCTGTAGTTTACGCGAGTAGTACACATTTAAATAAAACACTTTAACGGTTTAAAACGCGATGTGTATTAGTAAAACGTATTTGAACATTATTTTAACTACAACCCAATGTTTTGGATGCTGCAAAGCAGCCGAGGCCACGGGGATATACAATCTTGGGCTCGCCAGATAGAATTTGTTAGATTATATATTTTGGCTTTAGATATTTAGTAATCCTGAAATTGAAACCGACACAAAATTTTAAAATTTACTACCGCACTAATATGTTTAAATAATAGAAAATGTCCAAGCTAAAATAGGTCGACAACTTTACTTGTCTAGATTAGATATGGCTGAGGTGAAATACCTTCCATTAAGTAAAACCCATGCTTGTGTGTTCTTCTCTACCTAAGATAATGCTTTTGCAACTACGCTAGATCCGTTGGGAAACACTTATTTATTTAATTCTTCATTGCAACATACACAAACACAAAGTATATATACGGGATTCCTTAAAAATATCCTTAATAATAGCTATTTTTAAAGATACATTATTCTCACCAGCTATAGAGTGCCTTCTTGCTATAGAGCGATCTTTTCCAGGCAACCCTTAATTATTTATTATTATGTACTAGCTGGGTCAGTGACTTCGTCCGCGCGAATCTCTATTTTGGGCATCCAAATTCGTTTTTGCAAACCCCTTCTTTATAAACTTAAGCTGTCACCCACGACGTCGGTTGCGTTCCTTTCCGTCGTTCTTGCAAGTTAATCTTAAAAGATAGATATAGCGTCGCGGACGTTTTTCTAGATCATTTAAAGAGGAATTATTTCATTTATTCTTTTTGGGTACTTAGAACCGTTTTTGCAGCGCACGCCTCAGTAACCCATGTTGATGAATAATTTTCCCAATGTTTTTCACATTTCTCGCTATAACTTCGTTTGTTTTAGTCACAGGGCGATGTTTTATAGCGTTCCTCGATAAATGCTCTAATCTTTCTCTCTAATTTATTAGTATAGATTTATGTATAAAGAATGTAACTGAATATTAAAAATATATGAATCTATAAAATACTAGTACACATTTCAAATATTTACTAAAACTAAGAACAAAAAAATCGAAATCTAATTCTAGTTATACAGCAAGTGATAAAACAGATAAAAACGAAAGCTCACGGATACTACGAAATTGGATAGCTAGATAAGTTACGGTGCTTTGATACTAAAAATATTCAATTTCCAGAGCGAAGGCGGCGTCCGACAAAAAAGGTTCATTCGCGTTTGAGGTAGTCTACTTTTTGCTTCTGATGGTTTTAAAAGCTATGTTATGCTGTAATAGATCAGTAAAGTTATCCAGCTTACTGAAGTATACATATATTTGTTGCTTAAATCTTATTTTTAAATGGTAGAGCTGTAAATTTGGTTTCAAGAAACTTGAAATTTAATCTTTTAGACAATTTACTTGTATACTGTTGTCCTCTATTTGCAAGAGCGAAAAATTTCCGTGTCCGTTTCGTTTATCAATTTTATATGCAGGTAAATAGTTGATCGGCCTTATCTAACCTGTCAAAAAAGCTATTGTTTCACAAAAAAAACTGTCTTTACGCGAGTAGTAACATTTAAATAAAAACTAACGTTTGCAGTAGTCGTGGTCACGCAAAACATCCGAAACGTCGGGCCGAAGTTGAAAATCATTTTCAAAGAATTTTAACTAATATATCGCGTTTTAAACCATTAAGTGTTTTATTTAAATAAAAAGAAATACTTGCAATGCTTTCACAACTGAATAATTTTGAAAATAGAACGTACATACTTGTTGTTTTTTTTTTCAGTATATAACAGTGAGGTAAATACTATGTTATACAATAAAACTTTATGCGTTCTTGAGTTTTGGGTCAAGCACATAATTGAATTGTAATAACTGTGTCAATTGCATGATATTGGATAATAAGCGGACCTGTTTTTGTCGCTCGACATTTGGCACTCGGGGCCAAAGAAGCTGTCAGTTGCAAAGACAAAAATGTATGGATTTGACATGCGACTTAGCGTCATTATACCAAACGTAAATAAAAAACGATTTTAGTTTGCGCATTTATGACTTGAGGGGATGTAAACCGGCACCCACAGTGTTCCCGTTCTGTTGCTCTAATCAATTGAGCTACCGTATCACTTCATCGTCGAATTTCAACCTTTCGAAACATGTACCTCTCGCGCAATGTAATATCACCCCTAACACTTGCGTATTAATACAACATATAACAAACATATTTTTCTTTACTAACGACTCCGAAGATTTTATCATTCAACATTTATGTCGCACTTGGTCAAGGAAAAATGCCTAAAGCCATTTTATAAATGTATAAAAGATTCGGAATAATTAATTTCTATCCCTGTGGACAGCCTTCAAACCTGTTTTCATGTCTGGAAATTAGGGAAAGTGTGATGGAAAATCTTTGTAATTGTTTGGCATATTTTGAACCGTTAGGCGAGAAATGCTTCTTTCATTTTTATAAGGAAAATAACTTAAACTTTTTGACAATAATTGCAAATATTCTTATGATACTCATATAACATAAGAATTTTAATTTAATCTGAAATATAAGTGACTTATTTTTTTAGCTCTCCTACATGTGATTGTTTGGTTGTTTGAAATTTGATTACGCGAAAGGTGCATGTATCAATTAATTAATTATAATAAATATATATATTTTAACTTATTATTAATTAATAATAAGGTTAAAATAATTTTACGATGTCATGTAGGTACACGGTAGCTCAAAAGCAGCTCAGATCGCTCTAATCTAAAGAAACTATCATAAGCTCACAAGTAAACTAATATGTAACAATGATACCAAAACCAATAAGATATGTTGAAACCATTTAACGTCACTTTGTTATAAAGGAAAGACTTCTATTGTATAATTTACCTGTTCCAAAGGTTCTTAAACATCCATACACTAATAATATATATATTTGCTGTCAATATAGCATACACTGAAAGATAATTATAAGAGTTTAGCAAACAAATGTGACGAAACAAGGCTTGGCTTGAAGTGCTTACTTTATTGCTCAGCCTCTAATAGTTCATTTAGATTAGCATCATAGTATTATATAAATAATTTTAGTTAGTTTAGATCAGATAATAAAAAAAGAACCTTTTATACTAAAAAGACACCATTAACAACTATATAATATCAAAGTTGTAAAAACAGTCTTCTGTTCGCATTGCACTACAATTATTACAGTTTAAGCAAGCAGACGGTAAGCCTTTCAGGCTATATATATTTCAAATTTGTAATTAAGAATGTCTTTAAACAAAATGTTTAATAAACAAAATTACTGGCATAATTTGAAGTAGTTTTAACTTTTTCTCTGTCTCTGGCTCAAGTCTGCGTCAAATATATTTTTCATTCTATGTTATATTTTGTTTATAATCAAACGATAGTTTGATGAATACTAAAAGTTCATGTTTTTTTGGTATCTAAAAATAAAAAACAATATTGGGTTTATAATAAAATATACATCCTGTATACAAGAGGCGGTATAAATGGTATTTAAACAAAGGAAATAACAACGATAAATACTATCCTTATCGCGTCTATCTTATTTACATGGCTCTTGATTTACAGATCTACAGTCACAGTTGCGGCCTTAATTTTTATAGTATATGTTGAAATGATACCGAGATGGAAGCGAGTGATAATAAAATGTGAGTATTTTTTATCCTTTATTGCGGATATACAAAACTATAGTAAGGTACAAATTGCGATGAACCGGGCTCCAACTATATCATAACAAAAAATGATAATAAATTAATTGTTTACATAATGTTGCTTATATATCTAGTTCGTGAAGACTGTAAAATAATATATTTATCGAGAAATGTGACGGCGAGTTTCTTGCCAGCTCCTCTCGTGCGTTACGCCATTAATGGTGTTTCGTTTTCAGTCTGTGGATTTCCATTGACCACGGATGCTTTTCAGCAGCCGTGGTCACGGGGAGACAAATCAAGATCAAATAAGTTTAACTACTACTACTCGCGTAAACTATAGACAGTATTTAACTAAGTAGTAGACTAAAAAATTGCGTAAAGAATGGATTAGACTAAAATACAAATTGTATTATTCTTTCAGGCTGCATAATTCCCCAGCGTTATGTCCTGGGAATAATGGGACTTCTAGCAGTATGCAATGCATATACAATGAGGGTTTGCCTCAACCTAGCCGTTACTCAAATGGTGAACAATACCAAAAGCGGTGAAGAAGCAAAATATGATCCAGACGCTTGCCCTGATGACAGCGTACTCTTGGTCAACGGAACAGCTCCATATAAACCGGTAACAACTTCTTGATTTGTTTTTATTATTTGTACTTTAACAGAAATGTCGAGCGATTTTTGTATTAGAGGATTCACTTGATGGAAGGTGAATCACCCTACTAGAAAAAATCTCTAGTTGAGCTGTCAACCTATTTTGGGTTTCAGTATTCCGAGATTCACGATATGTGGTTTAACTTGAGGGCTGTTCCCTTTGTGAACATTGGCACAATATCCAGATTTCAAGACGATGTCCAAATATGTTTAAGAAAATTTATAAATTAATTAAAAACATGTTGGACCCGATGGGGATCAAGCCCGCGACCCGTTGATTAGTTATACAAAATACTATAAGCCCAAGAATACCGCCAAAAATTTTATTTTTGTTAAAAGTTACTTACTAAGAAGAATCTAAAATATTTCAGCACGCAATATTTGATTGGTCAGAATCAACACAAGGCTTAATTCTCAGTGGATTTTACTATGGATATTGTATCACCCAAGTGCCGGGAGGCTACTTGGCTCAAAAGTATGGTGGAAAATGGACGCTGGGCATTGGATTATTGAGTACAGCTCTATTCACATTGCTTACTCCTATTGTTGTGACGACGGGTGGAGCGACATGGTTGTTTATACTTCGTGTCTTACAAGGAATGGGTGAAGTAAGGGACAATGTTAATTTTTATTTTCTAATGTAACTTCTTTTTTATTTGCTTGGCTTGATTATTCTGTTAGTCTGTGTATGTATATTCAGCGCTTTAATTGTTGAAGCGTTTTTAGTAAATAAGCTGTTAATGGAAGATAATGACGTTGCATATAAAATACATACATTAAAAATACCATTAGAGGATCAATAAGTCAAACAAATTCAATTTTCAGGGCCCAACCATGCCAGCTCTCATGGTAGTCCTAGCGAAATGGGTCCCACCCCACGAGAGATCTATACAAGGTGCTTTGGTCTTTGGTGGGGCACAAATCGGAAATATCTTTGGATCGTTCATGTCAGGATTCCTGATGGCCGGCAATGGTCACTGGGCAAATGTGTTTTACTTTTTCGGGTGTTTTGGAATTTTGTGGTTTTTACTATGGGTGAGTTGACATTTTTGTAATCAGACACAGTTTAAAAGATGGAGCGTAAGACAGTTAAGATAATACTATCAAGCTTAATCTCCTTGGCGACTGGTTAGAACAGGTGTAAGTGTCATAAGCGAGTTCATTTTGTCATACTGTAATATTTTTTGTCGAAAAGTATTACGTGATTGTAAACGAAATAAAATGCCACTGAATATTAAAAACTATAGCTTATAATTATATACCTTGATGGATTGCTTGAGGGTTAAATCAACCCTTACTTTTAATAATTTTAAGAACAAGTTTAAGTATTATTGTTTAAAAAGTTTAGAGCCGATATCAAAGACATTGACAGCGCTGGCGTCCAAAACGTGAAGAGAATAGGTGCAAAAAAAAATCGGTTATAGATAATATTCCTTAAGAAAGTATTAATCCTTTTTTAGCCAAGAAATAATTTAAATTTAAACAAAATGCGAGCAAGGGTTATTTTTAAAAGAGCCACGACGTCACTGTTTTTACAAGAAAAAAAAACTAATAGATTTCTCGTATTAAAATCGATAACTGAGTTCTATTTAATATACTACTCACATAAACTACAGATGCACTTTTAAGTTCTCCTAAAATCCAGTAAAATAACTTATTAAATTTTTAAGCTATTTTTGTGTTGAGTTGCATATTGTGTAGCGTATAAGGAATTCAAATTGCAGAGTATCCTATGCTACAGTTCGCCAGACACCCACCCGTTCATATCAGATGGAGAGTATAAGTACTTGAGCGAGACTATAACGGGCTCAGAGAACAAGAGTACCAGAGATCCAATACCGTGGAAAGCCATTTTGAGGTCTGCGCCCGCTTGGGCCTTGTTGTTTGCTGCTGTGAGTACCAGATATTAAATTTGACTTTTTATGAGAAAACCCTTTCGTAAAATTCGTGATTACATACTTCTTGGCTAATTGGAAATGTGAAAAATAAAGCGTCAATTACTGTTTTCAGTACTAAGTATAAGTTTAGAAATAGTAAAACAGTCATTAAAAATAATAATTGATTTAAATAAGAAACCGTAAATTAAAATTAACTTTTTTAAACACCCGACACAAAACGCTCCTGATTGGTCGAGTTTATTATGACGACATGTCTTGTACGCAGTGCTATAAAGCACCGTGCTTCAGGTAGTGTTAAACATTTTCTATTTTATAATCAATAAATAAGTGTATAACTCATTTAAGTACTTCACACCACTGTTAAAATGTAAATGTTTGGCACAAATGCATGTAGAATGTAGATCATATGAACGACATACATTGCCAATATAAGGGCCTGACGTCAGTAGCCGTATTGCAGCAATATTTTGGCAAATATGCATCAAATTCAACAATATAGAGCAAATAATATCATCAAATAATATAGAGCATTTTTTTAATCAGTCAAATAATTAATTGTTTTGATATCTCTTAGATTGTTTTTATCATGAGATATTTAGCTGTGAGATCTGGAACAAAAATAAGTAATTCTTTGTAATTACATTATTATACAGAACTGATCTTAAGCTAGCACTGACGTTTTCAAGTGATATTTTTGAGTGTGACAGAGATTATCTCGAAAAGCGAAGATTAGATTTATAAAAATGACATGCGAAAATATATTTTACATACGTTATTTTTTTGATAAGTTTCTCGTTTAATATTTTACATCTGGTTAAAATAAATGGCTGAAATCGTATCTCACCAACCCTTACATTCCTAAACTTTAATATTTTACACATGCTATTGCACATGAAGGCACTATATAATTTAAAATCAAAACTAATAAAAAATAAAAAAAATCCACTCGGGCAGGACTTGAACCGGCATCGTAAGCGTTCTGCAAGAGCAACAGCACGGAACGCTGACGATGACGGTTCAAGTCAATATATTTTCGATTTTTAAATTATATAACCGTAAGATTTTTCATACCCACATCTAGTATAATTCCCATATGAAAAACGATATTTTTCGTATTTGACGGATTTTCACTAACCACATGAATATATTAGGCAATATAAATAATAACTTATCTACAGGTGGGTCATGACTGGGGTTATTATACTATGGTAACAGATCTACCAAAGTACATGACAGATGTCCTCAAGTTTAATATCGCGGCAACGGGCACTCTTACTGCCCTACCCTACCTCGCTATGTGGATATCCTCCTTCGTCTTCGGTGTCATCTGTGACTACTGCGTCAAAAAGAATTGGCATTCCATCAAGACTGGAAGAATTGTCTACACCACTATTGGTAAGATCTTATTTAAGAATACTATATTATAATTAAATCTTTTTCTATCTTCACTAAACTTAGTATAGCAATACACTACTACTACCTTACTTGCTTTTAATTTTGATTAGTGTAACAGACAAACAAATGCGTATGCGCAGCACGCCTCAAATAGATAAATACCTTCTTAAACTACTTTCCATTACACAGATAAAAATTAGTTTATTTTATGTTCAATTTAGCTATGGTCGCTCTTGTATTTGTTTTCTCTTTCCCAAGTTGTTTTCTTTGACTTTTTATGTTTTCAGCCGCCACCGGTCCAGCAATTTGCATTGTGCTGGCGTCATATGCTGGGTGTGATAGGTTTGCTGCTGTAGCATACTTTATCGCTTCCATGGCACTTATGGGAGGATTCTATAGCGGCATGAAGGTAAATATATAATTTTCATGTAAATTATTTTATTCAGTTTACTTTATATCTTAGCTTCTTTACCATTATTTTATTACTTTCAATTCTTAATAACATAACCTCCTTATAAACATAAGGATCTATTATTAAGTTAAAATTTGTCTTTAATCAATGAGATCAGATCAGAGTCAGATTTTTACTTTTTATATTCTATATTTTATTTAACTTATTATTTTTCAATTATAATCTATTTAATTGAATATTGATATGTGTTCGTTTTGAAACCGCTTCTGTAGCCGGGTGGTTAAACGTGTTGCCTAGCATCGCTTGAAGCGTGAGAGGTCCTGGGTTCGAATTCCAGGGAAACAATAAATTGTTTCGATCGGGTAAGACACAGAAGCCTGATCAAACACTTGTCTGAAAATAAAACCGACCGGTGGAATGGAAACGGAATTTCACTTTTTCTCAACATTTTTTTCAAATCTTCCTTATTTGTTCCTTTTACAGGTTAATGCTTTAGATCTGGCTCCAAATTACGCTGGTTCCCTCACAGCCATGATCAACGGTACTTCAACTCTATCAGGAATAATTACGCCATATCTCATTGGACTCTTAACACCCGATGTAAGTGTTTTCGCATAAATTTCAATGACATCGATATCTTGTCTTCTCCATTGATAGAGCTCGACGTCTTCAAGTTGCTTCTTACAAAAATCTTTTTAATATTGACAGAGTGGGTATTATTGATAAGATATACGTCAGTTTAGAATTTGTATAACGTCATTGTTGATGCTAAATATAAGTTATTAAAGTGCGAAAATCTATATCTGCTTAATCGGAAAGTTTTAATGGTTTTAAACGCGAAATGTCACATTAGCTTCGTTTTAATTAATATTAACTACGGCCCAAAGTTTCTGATGCTTTGCAGCAGCCGTGGTCCTCGCATTACTCAATTTATTTTGCGTTTTAAATAGTGAAAAGACTTATTTAAATGCATACTACTTGCTTAAACTACAGACATTAATCCGAGAGCATACATCAAAATCTATAAAAAGATAAAATACTTATCTACTCCAAACGAGAATCGAACTTCCAAATCTACGAACGTAAATTAGAACCTCATACCACAAGACCAAAAAACTGTCGATTTGGTAATATTACCCTGAATAAATCAAAAACTGTGTGAATGTTATTTTTATGGTTGCATAAACACAAAATCCTTGTGATAAATGATGCCATCAATATGGTTTCGTTTTTAGCGCAATGATTTCGATGGTTATTACAATTTATGGCTTGTTGCTTGTTGTTTCAGGAAATATTTTATATATTCTGAAAATCGGGTTTTCAGGGACTATATTTATCAAATAAGCGACATTATAAAGTTATTGTTAAATATTTCACTAACAGATTTACTAACTACAGTCAGGTGATAACGCATTCATTTCGACCAAATTTGACCTATTCATTGCAGCATGATATAGTCTTGTAAGATTACTCATATAAAGCTTGTACCATTTCGTACTAAAACCCTTCATAATTTCCAGTCTACATTGAAGCAGTGGCGTGTCGCCTTTTGGATCTGCTTCGCGGTACTAGTGGTTACAAATATCATCTATAACATCTGGGCAGATGGTAAACAGCAATGGTGGGATGACATCAGAAAATTCGGATACCCAGACGATTGGAAACACGGACCCCTTAAAAGGTCTGATGATGACAAAGAGACGAATAAGAAGAATAAGAATAAAGGAACTACACTATAGAGTATTAATATGGAGACTTACGCTAAATAATAATAGTACAAACAGTTTTAATTGTTTAGAATTGACGGATAAACACATCTGTCTAAAATATCTATAAATTTTCAGTGATGCTAACTTTTGTGATGTAGACACTGAGAAAAGGACTGTAGTAAATATTTAAAATATAATTATAGATGAATATTTTCAGGCATATATCGCTAAAGTCACAGCTTTTAGTGAGATAGTTGATAACAATGTTTTATTTCATTTGAATTGTTAAGGGACTCGTGTTGTGATAGTATAACCAAGAGAACATAATTGTTAGAGTTAAGATATAGTGAAGTAGTATCTTTTTGAACTCTCCCTTATTGTTATATAATATAAAGACCTTAGTTTACATGTCAGTCTAAATATTATTGACGCAAAATAACCGAATTAGTCAGTCATACTGAGTTAAAAAAAACTAATTTATTTTCGTAAACAAAATAATTATAAATTTATTGCTGAGTCAATTTTGACTTTTCACTGTTGTTTTGTAATAATAAAGAAAATTGGGTTATTTTGTTGTTGTCTTAAATATGTAATTAGACAACCAAAAATTTGTTTGGAGGCAGTGCCATATAATTTCTTCAATTACACATCTTTACACAAACACTCACACACACACACACACACGCTCGCACATACAAAAATATTAATTTATAAATTACTCTTTACATCCAAAATGCTTAACTTTGTGGTGGTGTAAGTAAGAGGCGGTATTATAAATTTTGCCAATTAGAACTATACAAAATTGAATTGTTAAAAAAAAACAAATTAATGTATTATTTTAAGAGAAGAAAAGAATATAGGCATTTGAATTTAGAACACTTTAAATTCTGAATTCATATATCACAAAAAAGTTTAATAAATCCGTCAATCGGAAATGCTCTTTAACGGCTTATAAAACTTTGCCCAAAATATTCTATAGGGCGTAAAATTTTACTTTGTTATGATGTTAATTTTGCATATTACCAACAAAGAAATGTTAAGATACACAACACAATCAAAATTCTACACAATACACTTAATTAAGTTTAACAATTAAACAACAGAGTATTAACATTGTGATATTTGCGAAATACTTAGCCTTATGTACTTTAAAAATAAATTACCTACGTACTTGTAAATATAAATAAAAAACATTGAAATAGTGTAAAATTTGATTTAATTAAATTGTTTTATACCTTATACTATAAGTATAAGGTATAAAACAATTTACAGTATAATACTAGTCAAGATTTATTTTACTAAATATTTGACTATACTTGTTGGTCCCTGAACATTTGCTCATAATTTTTAAAGTTATCTAAGCTTATTTTGTAGTTTTTAACTTCGAATAATTAACAAAAGGGACAAATGGTTCATATTATTGAATAAAGTTTGAACTGAACATTGTATTCACTGAAAATACTAAAGTATGTGGAGAGTTAAATTCAGGCATTAAACCGATGTTTTATGACACAGAAGGACAGTGAAGTAAGTTAAAGATACGATATTTGGTTAAGATGCGATGACGATCTAATTTGGTTTTGGATATTTACGCTTCGCGCCATTCAAAACTGTGACTTTCGAATTTTAAATACTTTCAGTGGAAAAACAGTTTTTATTAGCAGTTTTTATTAGCTTTAATACTAAGAATATGAACCAAAGCATAATCAGACCCACAATATAACACCATATACAACCAGACTCGTTGATCCAGTTTTAGCAAACTAGTGTCGTGTGGATATAAATTTGAGAGTCTGGCAGTTTTTTTAGATCCATTTCTGAATATCTCTATAATACACAACGCTACAGTTGCCTAAGTCGTGTAATAAACGAGTTTTGCTTTCAGTCTGTAGATTTCGGGATGTTAAAACAAAAATAGGTCGTTACATACTTAATAGTTAAATGGTTCAACAGCATATCTTAATTAGTTGCTAAAATGCGATATGTATCAGTTAAACTTATTTTAACTACGGCCCGACACTTCGGAGGCTTTGCAGCTGCCCTGGTCACGGGGATAAATTATTTTCAAATGAGATTAACTAATATATATTGCATTTAAAACGTAACGTAACGTAGCTACAGACAGTATTTTATACATGTTTGTCATCTTCTCCCCTTGAAGGTTTAGAATATACTCATTACATAGATGATCACAAATATCATTGACACCTTTATCGGGATTAACGACATGAAATGAATAAGTTATGTAGAAATATCCTTGGGTATAATGAATCAAGTCGACATTGTTAATGGAAGCTATATTTGAATAATGATCATTTGCGCAGTCGCATCAGTATGTTTAAATACGTATAAGGGACCTCCTTCCAAGATTATTTTAAGGCCCCTATCAAAAAATAAAGGTTCGACCGTCCAGTCAGTAGTAGAAAAAAAACTAAATAATTTGTCATAAAAATTCAAAGCTGAAAAGTTTCCTTATGTTACTAAAATTAAAATAATTTCGTAATTCATTGTATTAATTTAGTTTCTTTGATATAGGAGACCAGAAACTATGAAACGAGCGGAAATCCAATCCACGACCACGGCATGTCATGAATAATATTAACGAGGAGATATAAGTGTATACTTTGGAGATTTTGGCGGCCATTTTGTAGAGCTCTATTTTTCAAGCTGTTGGTTGACTGAAGATTTTCTGATGAATACATTCGCTTGTGATGACGAAAAGTCAAGAACGATTTCTTAATCACGACAGCCAAGCGATATTTAAATATTGAGCTAAATATTATAATGTATAAACTTTTATAACACAATACAATATAAATATGATTAAAATAAAGCTTCCAAATAGCTGGTATATAGTCGGAAGACCTAAAGTAGATAAGGTTGTAGTTAACGCGAGTTGTACGCATTTCAAAAAATACTGTTAACGGTTTAAAACACAAAATATGTAAGTTACGCTTATATTGGAACACGGCTGCTGTAAAGCATCCGAAACGAAGGCCCGTAGTTAATTTGTGAATAAGTTAACAAATATGTTTAGCGTTTATACCATTAAAAGTGTCTTATTTAAACGTAAGTAGATATAGTAAAAAGCTAAATAAATATAGTTATTTGTTAAATGCCACGTATAGCTCTAAAAATAGTACATATTTTATAACTTCGAACCAGCTAAATGCTAATAAAAGGACCGGTTCGAATATAATATGACGCGTTTAGAATATCATTAGTAGATTACACAATAAGTAAGTAATATATATGGAGGATTAAACTTCGCCTCGCTGTCCAGTTACAAAGCACCGCGAAGCTATATTTTTCGGAAAGAGGTTTTACGAAAAACTCGACGATAGTAAATTTACTTGTGTTTCGTGCTTCTGTTTTCCCTTCTCGTACTGTTGACGACATTTGCTGACAAACGTTACAGAAACGTTAACACAAGAAATGTATTTGTAATCTGTGGCGGTAACTTCTAATCTGGGTGGTAGGGATATCGAAATTCTGTCCGAGTCACGAACCACCGTCGTTAATCGCAATTTGATTTCAATCTGTTGATTATGAATTATGCATATAAAAAAATTCGTATTTGTTTAGATGTTACATTGCTATACGGTACTTATTATTTTGTCTTTCTGTCTCTTTCGTAAAGAAAATATATCTTATACTATGTAAACGTGTTTAAGTCTATGCATAGTTCATTCGAGAAAATGTTCACGAACTGTTAATCTTTATATAGCATACCAACTAACTTGGTTCACATACTTTATTTGGCAGGAAACCCTGGCGCCATTTAATAGCATTGCATAGGGAATTGCAAGTGCCCTCCTACTGACTGACTTAATAAATCTTTCGTATAGAATATGATAAACTAAGCTTCCTCAGCGAAGGTATATCATAAGATATCTTGTATTATCATTTTTTATAAAAGAGAGGGAACGACATGAAAGTTCACTTGATGGAAGGTGAAATACTCAGGTACAAGCGCGGTCGCAAGATGTGCCACCGACGTATTAGTAATACTAGAATATAAAAAAAAATTGTTTTAATTTAAATACGTGTTTTTCCTCAAGATATATTCACAAAAAGTATGATAAAGTATATTGTTGGTTATACTATACTAAATCGTTGGACGTTCAAATAGCAATATGCAGATAAATGCCTGTCTTCGTCACTGATCAATTTCATTAAATAAAGTAGTTAATCTGTATTTAGTAAGTTGCTCAATCAATATATTGTGTTTCCTTGGGATTCAAACACACGACCTCTAGTGTTTAAATAGTAGGTTGAATTAATGAGGTACGGGGACGCTCTATTCTTTTTCATGGAAATCAAAAAAAGGATCCCAAGTTACTTTACGCGGAATCTAGATGCTCTAGAACTTAAACTTTGGACAGTGTTTTATCATGCAGTTGACTTTGGTTATCTAAATAGTTTTTATAATAATATTAATAGTTAGTTAGACAATACAATTACTTAACAATTAAAAACAATAAGATTACATTAATTGTGTGGTGTACAACAAACAGTTATTATGAATGCTAACGAATATAATACATGAAGGTACATTACGTATTAAGGGCAGGTGAGAGGTTTGGGCTGTTATTTACATTGACCTCGTTTCAATGTCTACTGTCTGTTAATCGCTGGTTAGATTTAACCATTGCTTAATTGTTATAGTAATTACTGGACCTGAACCATAGTTTTGATCTACTGTGTGTAAAGTATACTAACTAGAGCTATTAAAAATAAAATTAACCTCTCCTAAACTATGTTCTTACTAGTATTTCAACTTTAACTGTTTATGAATTATCTCTACCATACGTTATAATGTGTATTCAAGAAGAACCAGAATGGCAAGGTTCTTTAACTAACGAGGAATCTTTAACTAAGGCAACACTCGAAATCTTCCAAATTTTCGAATTATGTCAAGTTCAGGGCCTAGCTTTAGGTTCGTGCATGTCTATAAAAACCCAATCAGCTTTCTTCTAGCCATTCACGATACTTTAATACACCGAAGCACTGCTTAAAGATTGCTTATT